GTACTTGGTCCTGCAGTGAAAGCACTCTGAGCTTCGGGGTGGAAGCCATGGCTCAGCAGTTAAGACTACTCTGCTTTAGCAGAGGACTCTGGGGTTTGAGCTCCAGCACCTGAATGGTGGTTCACAACAGTCTGTGACTCCAGTCCCAGGAGATCGTACACCCTCTCCTGCCCTCAGTGGGCACTGCATGCATGGTACACGGATACACACGCAGGCAAGACACTCATACCCATGTGAATGTTTGTCTCTGTGCATTTATGCACATGTATGTACCAGGGCCAGAGGAAGACTGAAGAGGGTGTCAGATGCTCTGGAGCTAGAGTTGTAGGTGGTTGTTGGTGCTGGAAACCAAACTCAGGTCCTCTGGAAGATCACCATACACTCTTAATGACTGAGCCATCTCATTAGCCTCTTGAAAGAACTTTTTTTTTTTTTTTTTTTTTTTTTTTTTTTGAGACAGGGTTTCTCTCTATGGCTTTGTAGACCAGGTTGGCCTTGAACTCATGGGGATCCACCTGCCTCTGCCTCTCCAGTGATGGGACTAAAGGCATGCTGATGCGAGATATCATGCCTCAGTGGGACCAGACTGGCGTCGGGGGGTGGGGGAACGTACTTGTGACAGCATGCACCACCACCACCTTGCTTAATTATGTTTTTTTTTTTTTTTTTTTTTTTTTTTTTTGTGTGTGTGTGTGTGTGTGTGTGTCTGGCTGGCCTGACACTCATTGTGTAGACCAAGGTGGCCTTGAACTCAAAGAGATCCACCATGAAGTGGCCTTGGAGTCAGCACAGAACACACTCAGATACCAAGTTCTCAGCACAAAGGAGATTTATTATTCCAGGCGGGACAAGCTGGGGTGGTGATGCAGGGCTGGGGTGAGGAGGGCTGCCTCTGAATTGGACAAAGATAGCAGGTGTTTCTGCGCAAGTGTTTTTAAGGAGAAAAGGGGAAGTCTGTGCTTGGGTGAGTTGGTAAGTCTTGATTGGACAAGTTAGCCAGTGTAGCCAAATAATGAATTTTGATTGCTGGACCTTGGTGTTTTGATAGCTGGACCTTGGAGTTTTAGTCAAGCACAAGGAAGTGTCCAAATAAGGGAACAGACCTTGGTGGCTAGCTTTAGGAATATAATGTAACGGTTTCACAAGAGAGAGGGAAGGGGAGAGGACAAGACCTATTGGCACCATCTTTGCTGTGCTTGGGCCTGTTAGGGCCCTTTACCCTGGGTTGAAGAGATGACTAAATGGTTAAGAACACCGGCTACTCTTCCAAAGGACTTAGGTTTGATTCCCAGCAAGCATAGGACTTCTTTTGTACTGTACTTGTATAAAATCTTACTCAATTTAGCAGATCTTTTGTATTAAGTAGTACATTTTGATTTATATCTTTTCCAATTCTTTTAGTTTATGTTTAGTGTATATAAATATTAGTTACTTGGGTTAATACAGCAGATCATGGTCAGGGTCACAAAAACACCTAATAAATTGCCAAGGCCTATGTGGCCGTTGGGGATTAGGGGGCTGAGAATATCTGCAAAGATACAAAATGAGGTCAGGATATGGTGGCATTATCTTGTCACCTCAACACAAAACACTGTTTGCATGTGGAGACCAAAGGACAGTTTTAGTTTCTTCTCCTACTTTCTTTGTTTGGTTTTGCTTTTCCAGACAAGGTTTCTCTGTGTAGCCCCAGCTGCCCTGGGATTGTCTATAGATCAGGCTGGCCTTGAACCTGGTGACCCACCTGCCTCTGCCTCCAGAGCCCTGTAGTAAAAGGTGTGCACCGCCGTACCTGGTCAATATCCAAGCCAGTGATATCTTCATCACATACTGTTACTGTTGTCTTTTCTCAGAAGTCCTCGAGTTGGAATCCCACAAGGGAGCCTTTTCAGGTCGGCTCCCTTTGTTGACTAATGTGTATCCAAGTTTGAGGACACACATTTGTGACCCAGCCTTTGGGAAGCAGAAGCAGCAGAAATCTGAGACTGGCCTGAACTAAATAGTAAGTTTCAGGTCAGTCTGAGCTATATGATAGATAACCTATCTCAAACAAACAAAACAAAATAAAATTCTGGAAAGGGCCTTCAAGATTGTTTGTCAAGGAAAAGCACTCCCCACACAAGCCTAATGTCTTGACCTCGATTTCCACAAACCATGGTGGAAGGGGAGAACCAACTCCACAGGACTGGCCCCAACCTCTCCATGCTTCTTCCTTTTTTACTAAGCTATACATTCCCCCCCCACTCCCTTCCCCTCCTCCCCTTCTTTTTAAATGGTGTTTTGCATGCATGTATGTCTGTGTGAGGGCTTCAGATCTACCGGAACTTCACTTACAGACAGTTGTGAACTGTCATGTGGGTGCTGGGAATTGAACCCTGGAACTCTGGAAGAGCAGACAGCGTTCTTAACCACTGAGTCATCTCTCCAGTCATCTGCATGTGCTTCTTGTCACATGAACCCATACATATACATCATGCACACACGCACACACACATACTCACACAATAAATAAATAAAGTAATACAAGTAATTTAAAAATTAAAAAGAGAGCCAGGTGGTGGTGTACACCTTTAATTCTAATATTTGGGAAGCAGAGGCAGGCAGATCTCTGTGAATTCAAGGCCAGCCTTGTTTATAAAGTGAGCTCCAGGTTAGCCAGGACTATTACACAGAGAAACCCTGCTTCAAAAAATAATAGATAGATAGAAAGAAATTGCTGGGTGGTGGTGGTGCATGCCTTTAGTCCCAGCACTTGGGAGGCAGAGGCAAGTGGATCTCTGAGTTCAAGGACAAGCTGATCTACAGAGAGTTCCATGACAGCCAGGGATACACAGAGAAACCCTGTCTTAATAAAAACAAAACCCCAAAAGAAAAAACAACCCCTCTCCACAAAAAAGTAGAAACCATTGTGTATTGATGGCTGTGATGAGCGTCTGTGGTTTCTCTGTATTGCTTTGGAGCCTGGCCTGGAATGAGTCCTGGGACCAAACGCCTGGGTTGTGGTAGTCTTTATCTGGCACAGGGAGAACCAGCTGAAGTGGAGTGATCAGGCTTTCTCCTGGACTCCACCCCTTCCTCCCACCACTCCTGTGGTTTCTTCCTTCTGTAGTTGCTGACTATGCTGAACTGGAGGGCTTAACCAGGGGCTTGAAACCCAGCTTTCCCATTGTGTTCAGGGTTATTATTATTATTAAAGACTTATTTATTAATTATGTATACAGTGTTCTGTCTGCAGGCCTGAAGAAGGCACCAGATCTCATTACAGATGGTTGTGAGCCATTATGTGGTTGTTGGGAATTGAACTCAGGACCTCTGGAAGAACAGTCAGTGCGCTTAACCTCTGAGCCATTTCTCCAGCTCCTGGTTAATTATTTTTATAATTAACACTCAAATTATGTGTTTTGTTCCAAGGAGATAAGAAGGATGTTTGTTTTTGTTTTTTTTTTTTCAAGACAGGGTCTGTGTAGCTAGCCCTGGCTGGCCTGAACTCAGAGATCCACCTGCGTCTCCCTCCTGAGTGTTGGGATTAAGGCATGAGCCACCACCATCAGGTTTTGAGGAAGTAAAAAAGATGTATTCCCATTCGGGAGGCAGAGGCAGGTGGATCTCTGTGAGTTCAAGGCTAGATCGAGTTCTAAGACAGCTAGAACTACTTAGAGAAATACTGTCTCAAAAAACAAAGAAATAAACAAACAATAACAAACAAATAAAAAGATGTATTCGTTCCCCAGTAGCCTTGGCTGTCCTGAAACACACTATGTAGACCATGATGGCCTCCAACTCACTATGTAGCCTAGGATAATCTTGAACTGCTGGTCCTTCTGCTTCTACCTCTTGAATGCTGAGGTTGCCTCCATTTGGTTTGGTTTATATAGGGCTGGGGACAGAACCCTGGATTACATGCCTGTTAGGGAAGCACTCAACTGAACTATATCCCCCAGCTCCTTCTAAAATATTACCTTAATGTAAAAAAAAAAAAAAAATCGTCCTTCCTTCCTTTCTCTTTATCTGTGTGCACTTGGGCAAGGGCATGTGTGCATGGCAAGGTGCAGACACAGATGCCACAGAACAGCTAGCTTCTGGGGGTTGGTTTTCTCCTTCTAGCTATATGGGTCCTGGGGACCCAGCTCAGTTCAGGTGGTCAGGCAGGGTCAAGCCCCTTTTCCTGATTAGCCATTTCACCAGCTCTAGCAAACCATTGTTAACTGCAAATTCTGTGGGAAAAGTCATTATTCATCTATTCAACAAATATTTATTCAGTGCAAGAACAGTTCTGGCTGGCTAGAGTCTCTGCTTAGTTATGGGGGATGAGTACTGGCAGTGCACGTTTATGATTTATTTATTCTTTTCCCCAAGATTTATTTTTAAGTGCATTGGTGTTTTTGTCTACATGTATGTTTGTACGAGGGTACCATATCCCCTGGAACTGGAGTTACAGACAGTTGGGAGCTGACAAATGGGTGCTAGGAATTGAACCCGGGCCTTTCTAGAAGAGCAGCCAGTGCTCTTAACCACTGAGCCATTTCCCCAGCCCCCATAACACTTACCTATCACGATTGAGGACTTAGGTTCAATCCTCAGTAGTGGTAAACAAAGAAACAAACAATAATAAGGTGTAGTAGTCTAGGCATAGAGGGGAGGTGGAGGCAGACGGATCTCTGTGACTTTGAGGCCAGCCTGGTCTACATAGCTAATTCCAGGACAACCAGGTCTACATAGTGAGACCTGTCTCAGAAGAAACAAGAAAGATATAGTAAGTCAGATGGTGCACAGAGCTATTGAGAGTTATAAAACAAAAGAGGAGCAAGTTCAGGGGCGTGTGCACCTGAAGGTTGCTATGGTTATGCAGGATGCCTGAGTCCTGCAACAGGTGGCTTGCAGCACCATGTGCAGCGCGAAGGGCAAATGCAAAGGACAGGAGCTGGACGCTAGCTGGAGTGACAGCAGGAGACTACCGACGTATCTTAGAGACCAGTCATTTGTGACCTTCTGGGCGCCCCTTAGCCCTGATAGTACTCATGACACACCCAATATGGCGGCGCCACCTGTCCATCCGGGCGCCAGCGGAAGTGCGTATCAGGGGCGCCGAAAGTGAGGCGCAGCCACGCCCCTTACCGGGGTTTCTGTGGAGCTGTGGCGGTGCCGGCTTCGAGCATCCCTGCCCTGGCAGGCTGGGGGACTACGAGACTGTAGCTCCGGCGGCCAGCTCCGGAGAGGTATGACCCGCGCCTCTCCCGCCCTGCCGGCTGGGGTCCCCTCGGTGCTCCCTCCCGACCCTGGCCTTGCTCCGAGGCCCATCCTTGCCCCCTCCTACTCTTCTCCCAGGCCCTCCGATCTTCTGTCCCCATCCTGTTCCCAGGCTCACAATCCGGATAGTCAGAATGGGCCTTTTCACGTTGCCTGCTGAATTTCTAGGCCATTTCCCCATGTCCCTGTGCATTGGCTCGGCTCTCGCAGCTCTACGACGTTGTCTTGTTTGGTAGCTCAGACTTGCCTGGAACTCAGTGTGCAGCCCACACTATATTTGAATTTACAGCAATTCTCCTGTTTTAACCTCTGTATTGCTGGGATTACGGGTGTGGTTCTCTACACGGGTTTTTATGCGCAGCTGAGGATGGAACCTAGGCCTTCATTCTTGCAGGCAAGCACTCTCCCAACTCGGCCACATCCCCAGGCTCTCCCCCCCCCCCACCCCCGCTTCTTTTTTCCTATCAGCATAAGTGCAGCCCACTTCTTTCTGGAGCCTGGTTGTGGTGTGGGGGAGGGTAACCCCAAAGCTCTGTGATCTAGGTCCTCTGGAGAATCCCACTGCGTCCTGCTATATGGGTGTACAATATTTCCTCTGCAGACAGCAGTATACGGGAAGGGAAGGGTGGAGGATTTGGCTGATACCCCATTGCTGCCTGCCCAGCTTAGTTTATATTTGTTTTTTTCCCCCTAGGACTCCTAACTGTGGCATACTTCTTAAATTATATTAGTGTGTGTATGAGTACGGTATGTTCATGGCATGCAGGCGTGTGGAGTCCAGAGGATCGATTTCTTGCCTTTCACCCTGTTTCAATGACTTATTTTTCATTATGTGTATGAACTGTGTGTGGGTATGTGCACATGAGTGCAGGTGACAGAGGGAATCACATGCACCTGGAGGTGGAGTTGTAAGTGGTTATCAGACCTGGTGATGTGGGTGCTGGAAACTGGACTCAGGTCCTCTGAAAGAGCAGTAGTCACCTCTAACCACTAAGCCTTCTCTCCAGCCTCTGCCTTCCGCTTTGTTGCTTCCACCATGGTGCATGCTCCACAAGGAGCTGGTTTCTGAGCTTCTGGCTGTTTGTCCTGCCCCCCCCCCCCTTTCTGTAGCAGTACTGGAATGGCAGATGTGGGTCACTGCATCCAGCATTTTATGTGGGTTCCAGGGTGTGAACTTGGGCCATCAGGTTTGCATGGTAAGGCTTTTTTGCTCACCTAGCCATCTTGCTGGCCTCCGGGCACACTTTTAAGTCTTAGGAGTTTCCTTGCTTTTGTCCAGTGAGACTTTCAAATGTTTTCTAGAGAGATGGAGCATGGTTATGAGAACCATGGCTGGGATCTTTGGGTTCTTCTCTTTTGAAGGCAGCTGGGTTCAGAAGTGTCTCCTGGATTGACAGGAAGAGTGTGCAGTCCAGCTGCAGATCAGTGAGTGGGATGCTAGAAAGCTTGTCTCCAGCAAGAAGAGTTTCAGGGTAGCTTTGTTGTATTAGCAGTTCTCAAGGAGTTGTATGGGTTAGAGATTAGCCCCTCCCTTTCTGGAGTGGGCAACATAGCCAGCCAGTAAGGTTTGAGCCATTGAAATTAGATTTTGTGCCAGGCGGTGGTGGCGCACACCTTTAATCCCAGTACTTAGGAGGCAGAGGCAGGCTGATCTCTGTGAATTCAATGCCATGCTGGTCTACAAAGGGAGTTCCAGGACACCCTTTGTTACACAGTGAAACTCTGTCCCCCAAATAAACAAGTAAATAAAAATGTGCTGTTGGCAGATGTTATTCTGTAAATATGTTTCTCTTATTGGTTAATGAATAAAGCACTGTTGGCCAATTACTAGTGTTTCTTATTGGCTAGCTCTGTCTTAAATATTAACCTATTTCTATCAATCTAAATATTTCTACATGGTCTTATCTTACCGGAGAGAGGGTCCAGAGTTCTCTCTCGGTCCTACATTTTGAATCTTCCTACCTCCTCCTCGAATCCTCCTTGTCTCCTATTCCTGCCTATCTTGCTTTTTCTATTGGCCAAACAGGGCTTTATTCATCAACCAACAAGAGAAACATATTTACAGAATGACATCTCCCATCATTTCCTCTTTTCTGTCTAAAATAAAAAGAAGGGTTTTAACCTTAACATTTTATTATTATTATTAATTTGGTTTTTCAAGACAGTGTTTCTTGGTATAATAGTCCGGAATGTACTTTGTAGACCAAGCTGGTCTCGAACTCAGAGATCCGCCTGCCTCTGCCTCCAGAGTGCTGGGATTAAAGGCTTGTGCCACCACTGCCCAGCCGTACCTGGTCTTTTACTATGGTGCCAGGGATCCAAACTCAGGTGCTTGTGCTTGTGCTTGTGTGGCAGGCTCCTCAATACTAAGCTGTTGCCCTAAAGAAAAGGAGAGACTGCCAGTTTAAGGTCAAGCTGACCAGCTAGCACTGAAATCCATGCTGAGAACTGGTGGTTGGAAGGACTCAGGAGAGAAGAGCCCATTGGAAACCTTAAGGATAGTTCTCTCTCTCTCTCTCTCTCTCTCTCTCTCTCTCTCTCTCTCTCTTTTCTTTTTAAGATTTATGCACGCCTTCAGTCCCAGCCTTGGGGAGGCAGAGTCACGCTGATCTCTGTGAGTTCAAGGCCAGCCTGGTCTACAAGAGCGAGTTCCAGGACAGCCTTCAAAGCCACAGAGAAACCCTGTCTCAAAAAACCATAATAATAATAATAAAAGATTATTGTGTGTAGTGTTCTGCCTGCACATCAGAATAGAGCACCAGATCTCATTATAAATGGTTGTGGGCCACTGTGTGGGTGCTGGGAATTGAACTCAGGACCTCTGGAAGAGCAGCCAGTGCTGTTAACCTCTGAGCCATCTTTCTAGCCCAAGAGTAGTTCTTTTCTTTTCTCTTTCCTTTTTGATTTTTGTTGGGATAGGTATAGTCATCCTCCTAGGTGTTGGGATCACAGGTGTGTGCTGTCACACGGGTACACGGGGTAGTTCTTCACTTATGGCCTCCCCCTTTGCTCTGAGACAACACAGGGTCTAGTGAAGAAGGGAATGGCTGGGGCTGGAGATGAAAGCAGAGCTTTGGGCTCAGGTGGAGAAGGAGCCACTTGGAAGCATAGGATCAATGTGTCCCAGTGCCTCTGCCTCCCGAGTGCTGAGATTAAGGCGTGAGCCACCACCGCCTGGCAGCAAGTTGTCTTAACACCCAGGAAAAGCCAGAACATCAGGAAGTTGGCTGAAGGTGACCCTCGGTGGTTCTTCCTTACCTGTGTTCTGGTTTGCAGTTCTCAGAGGGGATTCTGGGAACTGTGTTCTTCACCCCTTGGTGAAGAGTTGGTAAATTTTCTCCACTGTGGAGGTGGGATCCTCTTGTTTGTGCATCGCCAGTGCTGGGATTCCAGACTACCTTGCACGGTGGGTGCTGAGGATCCAAACTCAAGTCCTTCTGCTTGTCCAGCTAGCATCTAATGACTGGTCCAACTTTCCTCTGTTGTCCCTCACTTCCAGGACATGTCCAACGATGATGCTGCTGCCCCCACAGCTGCAGAGGCAGAGGGTGACACCCACCTGCTGGGCTTCTCGGATGAGATCCTCCTGCATATCTTGAGCCATGTCCCCAGCACAGACCTGGTTCTCAATGTGCGGCGTACCTGCCGGAAGCTCTCAGCCCTGTGCCTGGACAAGAGCCTGGTGCACACTGTGCTGCTACAGAAGGACTACCAGGTGCCTCAGGCATGGGTGGAAGGTCAGGGTCAACTAAGGTGCTAGCTGTGGGTGCTGATGTTTGCACTGAAGACTATGTAGTTGGGAAGAGTCACACATTAAGATACAGTGACAGACCCAGGGTAGAAAGGGGTAGGAGGTGTATCCCATGGCAGGATGGCATAGAATGTGTGCATGTAGTTCTGAGAGGGAGGGAGCCTGGGCCTCAGATACAGGGGTCATCTCGAGGCCTCCTTCCCCATAGGCACCCTAGGGTGGACTTATTGCACCACAGGGTAGATTGTAGAAGGTCCTTGTGAAGTGACACAGTGGGTGGCACAGTTGACATTGCTGCATAGAGGCTGTCCCCATTGCTCAAGGCGGAAGTAGAAGTATCTGATTAACCTGAGACATGAGCACACTGAGGTCCCAGCATGCAGGAGGCTGAGGCAGGATGATCAGAGCACTTTAGTAAGGCCTTGTCTCAAACAAACGCAGATAAAGACCCCAGACAGCTATACCTGATGGCATAGGCCTGTAATCTCAGCATTCAGGATCCCAGGCCACGTCTGTATTCAAGGCCAGTCTGGTCTACACAGAGTTCCAGGCCAGCCACGGCTACAAAGTGAGGCCTTGTCTTTAACAAATACCCTGCCCTGTCGCATTCTGCAGGCCAGTGAGGACAAGGTGAAGCAGCTGGTGAAGGAGATTGGCCGGGAGATCCAGCAGCTGAACATGGCAGGCTGCTATTGGTTGTCTGGCTCCACCATCGAACACGTGGCCCGCTGTCACAGCCTGGTGAAGGTGAACCTGTCCGGCTGCCACCTCACCTCCCTGCGGCTGTCCAAGGTGCTTTCAGCCCTGCAGCACCTGCGCTCCCTGGCCATCGACGTGAGCCCCGGCTTTGACGCCAGCCAGCTGAGCAGTGAGTGCAAGGCCACGCTGAGCCGCGTGCAGGAGCTCAAGCAGACGCTGTTCACACCATCCTATGGCGTGGTGCCCTGCTGTGCCAGCCTGCAGAAGCTGCTGCTCTATTTCGAGATCCTGGACCGCACACGTGAGGGTGCTGTCCTCTCCGGCCAACTCATGGTGGGCCAGAGCAACGTGCCCCATTACCAGAACCTGCGTGTCTTCTATGCACGCCTGGCCCCCGGCTACATCAACCAGGAGGTGGTGCGGCTCTATCTCGCCGTGCTCAGTGACCGCACGCCTGAGAACCTGCATGCCTTCCTCATCTCTGTCCCTGGCAGCTTCGCGGAGAGTGGGGCCACCAAGAACCTCCTGGACTCCATGGCCCGCAACGTGGCCCTGGATGCCCTCCAGCTGCCCAAGTCGTGGCTGAACGGCTCCACCCTCCTCCAGCATATGAAATTCAACAATCCCTTCTACTTCAGCTTTAGCCGGTGTACGCTGTCGGGTGGCCACCTGATCCAGCGGGTCATCAATGGGGGGAAAGACCTGCGCAGCCTGGCCAGCCTCAACCTCAGTGGCTGTGTGCATTGCCTGTCTGCGGACTCGTTGCTCCGGAAGGCAGAGGACGACATTGACAGCAGCATCCTGGAGACGCTGGTGGAGTCCTGCTGTAACCTGCACCACCTCAATCTCTCAGCCGCCCACCACCACAGCTCCGATGGCCTGGGCCGCCACCTCTGCCAGCTCCTGGCCCGGCTCTGTCACCTGCGTTCCCTCTCCCTGCCCGTCTGCTCTGTGGCTGACTCAGCACCCAGGCCTGACCGTGCGCCTGCCCCTCCGGCCATGCATGCTGTGCCCCGTGGCTTTGGCAAGAAGGTGCGCATTGGGGTGCAGACCTGTCCCAACCCCTTCCTGGGCCAGTCAGCCCCCCAGCCTGCCTCTGTGTTCTGGTCTCTGCTGAAGAAGCTCCCTTATCTGGAGCACCTGGAACTGATCGGGTCCAATTTCTCCTCAGCCATGCCCCGCAATGAGCCTGCCATCCGCAACTCCCTCCCGCCTTGCAGTCGGGCACAGAACGTCGGGGACTCAGAGGTGGCTGCCATTGGCCAGCTGGCCTTCCTGCGGCACCTGACACTAGCCCAGTTGCCAGGCATGCTGACAGGCTCTGGACTAGTGAGCATTGGCCTACAGTGCCAGCAGCTGCAGTCTCTGTCGTTGGCCAACCTGGGCATGATGGGGAAGGTGGTGTACATGCCTGCTCTTGCTGACATGCTGAAGCACTGCAAGCGGCTGAAGGACCTGAGGTGAGGGTGTGAGGGGCTGAGGTGAGGGTGTGAGGGGCTGAGGTGAGGGTGTGAGGGGCTGAGGTGAGGTGTGAGGGGCTGAGGTGAGGGTGTGAGGGGCTGAGGTGAGGTGTGAGGGGCTGAGGTGAGGTGTGAGGGGCTGAGGTGTGAGGGGCTAAGGTGAGGGTGTGAGGGGCTGAGGTGTGAGGGGCTGAAATGAGGTGTGAGGGGCTGAGGTGAGGTGTGAGGGGCTGAGGTGAGGGTGTGAGGGCCTGAGGTGTGAGGGGCTGAGGTGAGGTGTGAGGGGCTGAGGTGTGAGGGGCTGAGGTGTGAGGGGCTGAGGTGAGGTGTGAGGGCCTGAGGTGTGAGGGGCTGAGGTGAGGTGTGAGGGGCTGAGGTGAGGGTGTGAGGGGCTGAGGTGTGAGGGGCTGAGGTGAGGGTGTGAGGGGCTGAGGTGTGAGGGGCTGAGGTGAGGGTGTGAGGGGCTGAGGTGTGAGGGGCTGAGGTGTGAGGGGCTGAGGTGAGGTGTGAGGGGCTGAGGTGTGAGGGGCTGAGGTGAGGGCCTGAGGTGTGAGGGGCTGAGGTGAGGTGTGAGGGGCTGAGGTGAGGGTGTGAGGGGCTGAGGTGAGGGTGTGAGGGGCTGAGGTGTGAGGGGCTGAGGTGAGGGTGTGAGGGGCTGAGGTGTGAGGGGCTGAGGTGAGGGTGTGAGGGGCTGAGGTGTGAGGGGCTGAGGTGTGAGGGGCTGAGGTGAGGTGTGAGGGGCTGAGGTGTGAGGGGCTGAGGTGTGAGGGGCTGAGGTGAGGTGTGAGGGGCTGAGGTGTGAGATGTGAGGGGCTGAGGGCCTGAGGTGTGAAGAGCAGAAGTCTCAGGCTTCTCTGTGTCGTCTAGGGTTCACAAATGCACTTTGCCTGTCAAGGTGGAGCTCAGAGCCAACACAGGCCTATCCTGGAGGTCAAAGGCTTCGGGAAACAGGAGTAGTTAAGCAAAACCTTGGGAGCCGTGTGAGGCAGGGATCCTGGGGATCCTGAGATCAGGTCTCGAGTTGCTAGTCATAACTTCTTGCATTTACTTAGTCCTTGCTCCATGCTCCACATGGTGCTACCTCATTCATGGCCTGATGGTCTTAAAATGTTTTTTAGACTAATTTACCGTTATTTTTACTTTTACCTTTACTTTTACATGCGTGTGTTTTGCCTGTATGCCTGTTTGTGGCACCACGTGTGCACAGTGCCCATGGAGGCCTGAAGAGGATGTTGGATCACCTGGAACTGGAATTACAGAAGGTTGTGAGCCACCATGTGGGTGCTGGGAACCTAACCTGGATCCTCCGCATCAGCAACCAGTGCCCCTAACCAGGGAGCCTTCTCTCCAGTGCTGTGTCCCGTTTCTCCCACCCTTACACCCCCATTTTTTTGAGACGAGGTATGGCTGGCCTGGAACTTATATAGACCAGGCTGGCCTTGAATTCCCAGATCTTCCTGTTTCTGCCTCCTGATACTGGGATTAAAGGTGTGCTCCACTCTACCCAGCCCCAAATTATCATTATTATTATTATTATTGTATCTGTGTGTGAGATACATTGCCATAGAGCACTTATTATTATTATTATTATTATTATTATTATTATTATTATTATTATTATTATTGTGTGTGTGTGTGTGTGTGTGTGTGTGTGTTACATTGCCACAGAGCACATGTGGAGGTCAGAAGACAACTTTGTGGAGTTGGTTCTGTCCTTCACCCTTGTGTGGGTTCTGAAGATTGAACATAAGTCATTGAACTTTCACAGCAAGTCCTTTTACTCTCTGACCCATCTTGTTATTCCAAACCTTATTTCCTTAGAAAAGGTGTCTCCCTCCCTGAAACCGGGGCTCATCATTCTGGCTGGCCAGGGAATTCCTGGAGGATTACAGACATGTATGGCCTACCTGGGTTTTACATGGTTGCTGGGGATTGGAGCTCAGTTTCTGTTCTGTTTTCTTCCTTCGTTCCTTCCTTTTTTCCTTCCTTCCTTTTATTCTTTGTTTTTGTCTTTTTGAGACAGGGTTTCTCTGTATAGCTCTGGCTGTCCTCGAACTTCCTCTGTAGACCAGGATGGCCTCAAACTCAGAGATCCACCTGCTTCTGCCTTCCAAGGGCTATGATAAAAGGTGCTTGTCACTATGCCTGGCTAGTCCTTGGATTTTTGAGATAGGTTCTGTCTAGCCCAAGATGGTCTCTGATGGCCTCACCCCCATGAACAGCGAGGGCCTTGTGTATTCCAGGGAAGCACTCTACCCCTGATCTGTCTCCAGCTCTCATTTTACTTAGTTTAAAGCAAGTTGTTTCAGCTTGTTTTGAACTCACTACTGTCATCCTCTAGGGCCTTTAACTCCTGATCCTCCCACCTCAACCTCCAGAGCATCTGGGGCCACAGGTGTGCCTCATCATGCTCCCCCAGTTGTAAGAATTTCTTTTTTCCTTCTGGACAGGGTCTCATGTGCCCTGGGCTGGCCTACTTTCCTTGTAGCTGAGGATAACTGGAACTTCTGATTGGCCTGCCTCTGCCTCTGCCTCTGTCTCTGCCTCTCAAGTGCTGGGATTATAGTGGGTTCCACCACACTAGCTTTATGCAGGACACACCATGTAGTGAAGTCCATGGCTCTGGGCAGGCAAGGGGACCAGTTCTTAAGGATCTGCCAGTCGGTAGCTGTTGGTTGGAGGGCAGGTAGAACCAACATTGGGGCCACAAAGTCAGGTCTTAGCCTAAAGGGACTTGTACGTGGCTGTCTCTCTCTAGTACAGTTACTGCTTCTTGGGTGCCTATCTCAGGGTTACTATTGCTGTGATGAAACACCATGACCAAAAGCAACTTCAAGAGGAAAGGTTTATCTGGTTTACACTTCTAATCCCTGTCAGGACAGGAACTCAAACAGGGCAGGAACCTGGAGTCTGGAGCTGATGCAGAGGCTGTGGAGGGGTGCTGCTCACTGGCTTGCTCCTTGTGGCTTGCTCAGCCTGCTTTCTTATAGAGAACCCAGGACCACCAACCAGCCCAGGGATGGCACCACCCACCATGGCTTGAGCCTTCACCATCAATCGCTAATTAAACCCTATAGTTTTGTCTGCTTACAGCCCAGTCTTCTCAACTTAGGTTCCCTCCTGTCAGATGACTGTAGCTCGTATCGAGTTGACATAAAACCATCCAGGCACAACATCCATGGATGCTGATGTGAACTCAGAAGCAGGAAGCCTCTCACCTGTCAATCTGAATCAGAGCTTCACTTTGGCCTCAGGACCCATGGGGAGGACAGGGTGTATCCTTTCCCTCTTGATCCCCTCCTAGCTTCAGTGTGACAGGAAGTCAGCAGGTCCTGTGCTGCTCATGACCCAGAACCTTCCAGAGCTGCTTGGCCAGGCTGTGGCCTCTGCTTCCTGTCCTCCTTGGAACAAAGCCATACTAAGGCTGTCTGGGTCTGAGGCCTCTGTCTTATCTGGTCACCTGCCCTGCTGCTCCAGCTTCACCCTCAGCTTAGCAGACCTAGTGGGGCTCTGTGGACAGAGCTGGTACCCATGCCTGGGTGTCCATGTGTGTGGGTCCTGTGCCCTCTGTCTATATTTGCTTTGGGAACCTGCCCCTGGGCTTTCTTACTCCCCCAGTTTAGAGGTCCCAGTCAGTTGATTGTGGTGGCATATGCCTAAAATCCCCCAACTAAGGAGGCTGAGACAGGGAATCGCCTTGAGTTCAAGGTCAGCCTGGGCTAGAGTAAGACCTTGTCTTCAAAAGCAACAGCACCCCCCCACACACACACACAAAGAAACCAGATGTGACTGCATGCCTGTCTGCCTCCCCAGCACTCAGGAGGTGGAGGCAGGACTTCAAGGTCATCCTTGGCTCCATAGTGGATTTGAAGCCAGCCTGGGCTACATAGATCCTATTTAACAACAAAGACAAGATTAATGTGAGCCCTGGGCTCTCCTCTGTATCAAGAGAAAGCTTTGTAGCTGTAGTGGGAAAATGCTGCAGCAGCCGCCCCTCCTCTCTCCCACATCTGCCTTTTGCCTTTCCCAGGCGCACAGATGGACGACTTCCTCCTTGGCTGCATCTGCTGTTCCCTGTAGTCACCAGGCCCTCCATTTCCTTGCTGCTTCCTTTGTGGTGTCTCTCACACTTGTGTCTTCCTGTGCCTGTCCTGTCACACCCCTGGCCTTTCCTGAAGCCACAGTTAATGCATGGATGGCCATTGTTTGCCAGAATGGCAAATGTGTCACAGATAATGGCTAGGGAAGCAGCTCAGTCAACAAAGGGATTGCCTAGCACATTGGAAGTCTTGAGTTCCATCCTTGATCCCATACAGACTGGGTGTGGTGACACACCTACAAAGCCAGCATGGGGGAGGGGGCAGGGCGAGGAGGATCAGAGATTCAAGACCATCCTTAGCTACATAGTTTGAGCCAGCCTGAGCTACATGAGACTATCTCAAGGGAAAAAAAGGAAGAAAAGATGGATTAGAGAATACTAGGCCACTGCTGTTGTCTACGTCCTGTGATTAAGACTGTTTCCTAAATTCAAGGGTACCACATCAACCTTTGAATCTTTCAGAGCCAAGTTCTTTCTAGATTTTTCTGTCTTGCTTCAAGTTTTTTTTTTCCATCGGTCCATCAAGCCCTGTGGTTTTGCAGTAGGTATGGTGGTGCACACCTATTGTACAGAGAGGCTGAATCAAGAGGATTGTGAATTCCAAGCCAGCCTGGGCAATATGTTGGTTTGTCACTGGGACCTGGCATCCTGGAGAGAGGCAGGACCATGTGTGCCTCATGGGAGGCCTGGAGGACTGGGGTAAATTTGTCTCCCCAAGAGCTTGATCACAGTTCATAGTGGCATATCTACTCAGGCTCCAGCCTGTGCCCACAGCCACAGAACTGTCTGCTGTGTGAGGTACTGCCTGTTCTGAACACACTCAGGCTTCCAGAACAGCCAAATGGCGCCATTCCTCTGGATCACTGCCTTGTGAGTCAGGCGAGCCCAGAGATGATGCAGCAGGTGGCAGAAGCTAGAGTAGGCTCAGGAGGCTTTGCTTGCTTGGGTTGTGGGGGCTGTAAGGGCACCTGCATTTTCGGGGGGAGTGTTCTGATGGCAGCCTTGGGAATCGCAGGCCCACCTGCTGCCACCTCCCCCTGAAGCCTGCCATGAACCTGAGCTTGTACCAGCCTGGCTCCCTGTGCGGAGGAGGTGCCACAGGGACAGGTTGTTCTGGTTGTGGGCTTGGGGCGCACCCCTGTGGTGAGAGGATCACATGTCAAGCAGAAAAGGGTGCCACCTTTCCCAGGGCTGGAGGCGGGGTGTTACCCTGAGTCACCCTAGGCTGCCTGGGCGGAAGCAAGAGAGCTACTTGAGCCAGGCCTGGCACAGTCTCAGGAGCAACTTTGAGCTCTCATTCTCCCTCATCCTGCCTGGCTCAGAGTGCAGCGTGAGCCCCTTAAGCCAGAGGGGACAGGTGCTGCCACCCCAGTGAGCTGAATGGCAAGGGCAAGTCTGAGCCTTTCTGGCTGGTAGTTTGAAGCAGCTGGGAAGGGTCAGGGTTAGGATGAGGTCCGATCTGAGTGGATCTCATTTCCTAGTTCCTTTGTCCACCTTCAGATGCCTCAGGTGGCACCTCCGTTGGGTCAATTTCCCATCCATCCTGGGTGCTGCTGACCAGCCTTGTGCACAGGGGAGAGGGTAAGGGCTCACTGGCCTACAGTTGGAGGGTGAGAGAGATAGGATATTCACACCAGGCTAAACGCTGACAGATGACTTTTTTCAGGGCAAGGTTCTGTAAGTGACTGTCTAATTGGAAAAGGGTTAAAAGTTTGTACCGGACACATTACTACTACTGTCTGTAACTAAGCTGGCCTGAGGGCTCTTGGGCCTGTAGTGCAAGTTCATGCTGCCACCTAGTGGTAAAGGTGATTCCATCTATTGCTGTTGGAAGCATCAGGCAGGAGGAGGACTCTCTCTCTCTCTCTCTCTCTCTCTCTCTCTCTCTCTCTCTCTGTCACTGCTGCTGCTGGTAACTCCGATGTTCCCAGGGGCCCTGCACTCCTCCTTCTTGCCACTTTCACATCCTGTAAAGAAGCACTTGGGAAGCTGAGGCAGGTGGACCACTGAATTCAAGGCTAGCCTTGGCAGCAGAGAGAGACCCTGCCTCAAAATAGAAATTGAGGGATGAGCCAGGCAGTGGTGGCACACACACCTTTAATCCCAGCAATTGGAAAGCAGAGGCAGGTGGATCTCTGTGAGGTTGAGGCCAGCCTGGTCTACAGAGTGAGTTCCAGGACAGGCTCCAGAGCTACACAAAGATACCAAAGTAAGAAATAAAAAAATTGAGGGATGAAAATGACTAATATACATGATGTGCATATGCAAAATTGTGAAAAAAAATAAAAACAGATTTAAAAACTAAAGGGCTGGGAATATGGTTCAGGATAGGAATGCTTGCCTATCCTAGCATTTCTGAGGCCTAAGTTCAATTCCCAGCACTTCAAAAAGCCAGGCAGTGGTTGTGGCAATATACCTTTAAAGGCAGCACTTGAGAGGTAGAGGCAGGTAGACCTCTGAATTGTCTGAATTGGAGACCAGCCTGGCCTACAGAGCGAGTTCCAGGCCAGCCAGGGCTACACAGAGAAACCCTGTGTGTGCGTGCGTGTGTGCTTGCTTGCTTCCTTCCTTCCTTCTTTGTTTTTGTTTTTTGAGACAGGGTTTCTTTGTATATAGCCTCTGTATATAGTCTTACTCTGTAGACTAAACTGGCCTCAAACTTAGAGATTCACCTGCCTCTGCCTCTGGAGTGCTGGGATTAAAGGCTTGTGCCACTACTACATGCCTGAGAAACCCTGTCTTGAGAGGAAAAAGATCAATCTAAAAAATGTAAAGGGCTAGGGTTGTAGCTCAGTGGTAGAGCCTGGCCTGGCTGGTGTGTTTGAGGGCCTGAGTTCAGTCTGTGACGTCATAGTAACAAAAATGAACAACAAAAAAGGGTGGGGCTATGGAGAGGTGGCTCAGTGGTTAAGAGCATACAGTATTGATGCAGAGGATCTGGGATCAGTTCCCAGAGACAAGTGGCTCACAAATACTGGTAACTGTTTCTAGGGAATCTGACATCTCTTCTGCCCTTCATGGGTACAAGGCGCACGTATGGTACACATACACGCAGGAATTCACACCTGTATGTATAAAATATAAATATTTTTTTTAATTTAAAAAGGGTGAGGCCTGTCCACTTTGTCTAAGAACAGTAGTGACCCTTCCATGGAGCCTATGTGGTGGGGCTTGTGCTCTGGGCTGATGACAAGATGCTGTCCTCAAAGCAGCCTTGAGAGACTTTCTTCCTTTTCTGTCCCTTTCCCACTACTCTGGCCTGCTGGACCTGTACTTTCTCCTTTTGTCAGCTGACCTGTCTCAGACTGGCTCCCCAGGGTAGCATCATGTGTGAGTCCTCCTAAGGGCCAGCAGGTGTGACAGTATGGGGGTGGGATAGCATACTGAGGAAGGCAGATGGCCTTGAGCCAGTGCGTGCTGGCAGGGTTTGTAGACAGTTACCAGCCATATCTTATCCTTGGAGTCAAGATCTCCTCGGGAGATCCAAGTCCCTGGCACTCACACCCTTCTCTCTGCAGGCTGGAGCAGCCCTATTTCAATGCCAACGCACAGTTCTTCCAGGCATTGGGCCAGTGCTCGACTCTGCAGCGCCTGTGCCTGGTGTCTCGAAGTGGCACTCTGCAGTCGGATGCTGTGCTGGACTTCATGAACCGTTGCCTGCAAGTTGTTGTGTGTCACATGTTCACTGGAGAATCCCTCATCACCTGCAAGAACCTGCAGCAAACACTCCTCCGGAGGTGAGTAGCATGGCCTGGCATGATCAGTTGGTGGCTGGGAGGTCTTGGACAGTACCAGTGTCCTCAGTCCAGTAGTGACTTTGGGGAGATGGAGTACCAGATGCTGGTACATGACCAGAGGGCCTGGATTCCCGAGGGGGACGAGTTCCTATAGATAATTTCTATAGGGGCCCACCCTCATCATTGTGAAGGCTTTGTCCTCAGACCTCCCGAAGCGCCACCTTTTGTTGTTGAGAAAGGGTCTCTCTGTATCCCAGGCTTCTCCTGCTCCTGCCTCTGGAGTGCTGGGATCTCATGCTGTGAGTCACTGTGTCTGCCTCATCCCTTTTGCTGGCAGTATGTCAGGAGTTAGGGTTTCAGCTTGAGGACTTTGGGGGCACAGCATGCAGTCTCTGGTCATTGCTGATGGCTTTGTTTCCTATCTACACACTGAATGCCACCATGAGAAGACCTGCTCCTGGCTCCCCCAGTTCACCCATGGTTCTGGTCATTTTATCAAGGACCAGAATGGACTTACGGTATTCAAGTTTTGTATTAATTTATACATTTATTTATTTTGTGTGGAGAGGTCAGAGGACAGCTTTCAGGGATTAGCTTCCCTTCTACCACAGGGGCCTGAGAAATGGGTGTACTAGCTACAGCTTACAGATGAGGGACGGAGGAAGAAAGTGCTGGAGCCAGTTGGCAGCATGCTGGATGGAACTGCACATCGGAAGGGACAGAGAAGCTAGGTGCTACGAACCTGGAATCCCAGCACTCAGAAGGCTGAGCCCAAAGGTCAGCCTGGCTACATAGTTAGTTCAAGGCAACTTAGGCTATATAGCAAGCAAGACCATTTCAAGCAACAAGTAAGGTAGAGAGTTTAGCTCAGTTGGTAGAGTGCTTGCCTAGCAGGCACCAAACCCTGGGTTCAAGTCTTGCAGCATGGGGCTAGAGAGATGATTCTGCATTGAAGAGTGCTTACTGCTGTTGCCGAGGAGCCACCACCAGATCAGGTGGCTAACAGCTGCAGCTGCCTGTAACAGTAATTCCAGGCTACCTCTTGGCCTCTCCTGGCCACTCTGGACACCTGCATACATGTGGTGCATATAAACACATGTAGGATCACTCACATAAACGCACAAACCTAAATAAATAAATCTCAGTCTTCTGTAGCACTACAGATGTGTTGGCACATGCTTACACTCTCCGCAGAGGCAGGATTTAAGGTCATCCTCTGCTGCATAGTGAGTTTGAGGCCAGCCTGGGCTACAGGAATCTTAAGAAAATGTAAATCGAGTGAGAGGGAGCTGTGCGGCTGGTGTCAGAAACCCTTCAGGGTAAGTGCTGAGTCCTGACCCAGGCCAGCAGGAAGCCTTCTCCTGGATTGTTGGCAGCCTCCAGCCACAGCAGAGCCCAAGAGCCTCACAGAGGAGGCTGTTCTGTAGATGCTTCTGCTGCATCCTTGCCATTGGCAGACTCCCTCAGCGTGACAGCAGCTTTTCTGGGTCCTTCAGGAGCGCTGCTGCAGTGTTCCAGTAGATGGCGCTGTTGCTTTCAGCAGCTCGACAGGGTGTTTGTGAAAAGTAACAAGGCGGCTGTCCTCTTTCCTGATGCTTTTGTTGTTTGTTTAGCTTTAAAACTTTGTAGACAGGATTTGTGTAGTTCAGGCTGGTCTTGAGGATGACCTTCAACTTCTCAACCGCCTACCTCCCTCCTGAGTATTGGGATTAGAGACATGTCACACCACTTTTGGGGTAGCCCAAGCTGGTCTTAAATCTTCTCCTTAGCTACATGGAACAGCCAGCCCCCAGTGCTCTCATCCTCTTGCCTGGAGAGCTCAGGGGAGCACTGAACTTGTACTCCTGAAAACCCCGTCCCAGCTGCTGTATGTTTAGGGGCCCCCTGCCAACGTGGAGGTCTTAGCCAATAAGGCTGGGGTCCCTTCCTCCCTGCCACTGTAATGGGGAAGTGTTGGTTCTTTCCAGGGTCACCCTTTGTGTCTGCCCCCAAGCTGGCTGCTTGTGTGCCTCAGGACCCGGGCAGTTGCCTCTTTCTCCCCTCCATGTTTGGCTTTGTGTGTGTGTGTGTGTGTGTGTGTGTGTGTGTGTGTGTTTGATGCCAAGACTGCAGCTCAGGTCCTTCATGTTTTGGAGCTTGGACTTGGATTCCCCCCATCTCACAGGAAACAACTGGATTTAGGCTGCCCCTGTGTCTAATGCCATGCACAGTAGCATAGACTTCATTTGTTCTCTGAGTTTTGTGTCCCAGGTCTTTTGTTTTTTTCCGATAAGGTGTCGTGTAGCCCAGGCTGGTCTCTAATACGGTGAAGGATAACCTTGTATTTCTCAAGTTTTGGCATTACAGGTATATGCTGCCACGTTAGCTTTACGCTGTGCTGGGCCTGTGCATATCCTATAAATACTGTGTAGCTGAGCCATGTCCCAGCCTTGGGATTTCACGTGTGCAGTGCTGTTGTAGGGGTGACATCTTAACCTCCCTGGAGATGCCGGGCATGCACTCCCATGCCTGCTTCCTTTCTCGCCTTTTGTACCATGCGGCTCCACTAGGTGTATGTTCTGCATGTCCCTCCCCTGTTTGGGCCTTTGGCCCCATATGAGATCTGAATTCACGGCCTGGGAACCAAACTCGGTGACAGAGCTTCCTGGTAGACCCTGGGGGCTTGTGGCCTCCCAGGGTGATGAGCAGAGAAGTGTGTCTGCCCCAATTATCCTAGTTCCTGCCAGTGCCCCAGACCTTCCGGCCTCAGGCGCACACACCTGCCCTGGACTCCTCTTTCTCACCTCTACTTCTGAGACCTGGCGAGCAGGGCAGCCCCCTGGGTTTTCCCCTTTGGGTCTGTTTCTTGTCAGGTCTTGTAGCCCTGGGAATGGGGAGGACCACCTGTCACCTAGTCACTGTGGCACTGCTGAGGTCTAGCCTGCACCATGTCTCACCAGTCCCGAGACCCTAAGTGAGCTTCTCCTGACTTTATCTCTGGGGAGCAGCATCTTTCAGCCACAAATGGAACCTTTTGGTGATAGACCAGCTCTGTTCCCAACCCTGGGTGAGCCATGATGCGGGTATTATTGCTGATCATCCCACCCAGTGCCATCTTCCCAGGGGTTGAGATCGATTTCCTGGCTTTCCTCCTCACGTTCTGTCCAATGTAGGCTCTCCGTAGCATTTCCACGTGACTGATTTAAATCCTGTGTAGGATTTTTCCAGGTTCTGTCTCCTCTCTGCAGCAGGGCCCGAGCTTAGGAGCATGCATGATAGCCTCTGGTACAATCACAGCCAGTAGCCAAGCCAGTGAAGGCGAGAGCAGAGCCCCTGCTTCCCTGGAGCAGTAGACCTGACATCTGTGAGCCCAGAGAGCCCAGCCCTGCACTCTGTCATAGCCTCCATCCTAAAGACTCAGAAATCCCAAACCTGACAGGCTGGTGTGTCAGAAGAATCTGCTGCCAACTGTGGTAGCCATGCCAATCTCTCTTGAGGCCCAGTTGGCACTGCCTTCCCATGTGGGGTCTTAAAGTGTGTTTGTGGCCTGTTGCCGTATGTTGGGGCATATGGCCCTGGGAGGCTGACTGGCTGCCGCAGCCCCTGCTGTGTCCCGTGTAGACACAGGGGCATTCTTCCCGTAAGTTTCCAGCTTGCCAGCACCATAGTTACCAGCTTGTCCTCTGATGCTGCATTCTGGCAAGCTCTGGCCCACGGCTGTCCCAGGGGCTGCACTCAAGGCCGAGTGAGCAGATATTGGCTCTCCATGCCAGGAAAACGGCTCGGTCTGCGTCTGGTCTGCAGACGTGTGGAGAATAGAGTGTTCTCAGGTGGAGCAGGGCATTGCTTAAGTCTCCCCAATGCCGAGAGCCATGGACTTGGGTATCAGTTTTCAAGAATGGATTAGGGGCTGGGAATATGGCTCGGTTGGTATAGTACTCGCCTAGCATGCACAGCCCTGGGTTCCATCCCAGCACGGTAGAAACTGGGCACAGTGGTGCAGTTTTATAATCCCAGCACTTGGGAGATGGGGGCAGGAGGATCCAAAATTCGAGGTCATCCTTAACTGCATAGCTAGTTTGAGGCCAACCCGGGAAACATGAAATGTGAAATTCTGTCTCCAAAAATTAAAAAAAAAAAAAAAAAAAAAAAAAGGGAAGCTGACTGTGGTGGGTGGCTCTTGCCTTTAATGCCAGCACTGGGGACACAGAGGCAGGTGGATCTCTGTGAGTTCAAGGCCAGCCTGGTCTACAGAGTGAGTTCCAGAACAGCTAGGGCTACACTGAGAAGCGCTATTTCAGATGGGAAACTGTTGTCTGTTTCATTTGGTAGGTCTGTCCATCTGGGTGTGGAGCCAACGTAGTGTGACCTAGGGATTCTATTCTTTTATTTTTTTAAGATTTATTTATTTTATGTATATGAGTGCTGCATCTGCAGGCCAGAAGAGGGCATCAGATTCCAGATGGTTGTGAGCCACCATATAGTTGCTGGGAATATAAACTCAAGAGCCCTGGATGAGCAGCCAATGCTCTTAACCACTGAGCCATCTCTCCAGCCTGGGGATTCTGTTCTTATTCCAGAACCTCCAGTTGTTTTTATTTTCACGTGCTTGTGTGTCAGTGTATGTACATGTGGGTCCAGTTACCTGCAGAGCCAGTACAGAGTGCTGAGTCCCCCTGGAACTGTAGCTACAGATGGCTGTGCACCACCATGTGGGTGCTGGGACTCCAACTCAAGTCCCCGCAAGAACAGCCAGTGCCTTTGACCACTGAGCCATCTTTCCAGTCCTCCCAGAGCCTCCAGTTTTCCAAATGGTTACAGTGTCAGGTCACACTGTCACTCGGTCAGCAGGGCTGGTTTGAGGGTGACTAGGTTGTGTAGGTATCTTTCTCCAGTCCCTACTCAGTGCCCTCCTCAGCTTTGGCCTGAGCCCCGCCTTTTCTGATGTCTCCTAGGAGAACAGTACAAGGGAATGTTTAAGCACAGTGGGGGGGGGGGAGGTGTTTCCAGCCTGGGGCTGTGAGGCTGCTGACAGGGGCTCTGGGCAGAGAGGAGGTGACATGAACATCAGGCCAAGCAAGGCATTTTGCTATCCCTATCCCTCATCTCACTCCCAGTGAGTTTTGCTCCTGCTTAAGTTTTTGTTTTGTTTTGTCTGAGACAGGGCCTCCCTATGTGGTCCTGGCTGTCCTAGAACTCACTATGTAGACCAGGCTGACCTCAAACTCACAGTTTGATCCTCCTGCCTCTGACTCCTGAGTGCTGAGATAAAAGGTATGTATCACCATGCCTGGCTTGTTTTATTTTGAAACAGGGCTTTTTGTAGCCCAGGGTTGACATCAAACCTAGTCTGTAGGTGAGGATGACGTAAACCTCTGACCCCTGCCTCTGTCTCCTGAGTGCTGGGACTACAAAACTATACTTGGTTAATGGGGTGCTGGGGACTGAACCCAGGGCTTTGGGATACTAGGCAGGCACTCTACCCACTGAGCACACCCAACCTGGCAGTAACTGTTTCTTCTTTTTCCTTTTTTATGTGCCTTTGTGTATGTCTGTGCTTCATGTGCGTCTCTGGTGGCTGCAGAGGTCAGAAGAGGGTGTTGGATCCACTGAGACTAGAGTTACAGACAGCTGTAAGCCATGGGAACTGAACCTGGGTTCTCTGACAGGGTTTATCTGTGTAGCACTGGCTGTCCTGGAACTCACTCTATAGACCAGGCTGGCCTTGAACTCACAGAGACCCACCTGCCTCTGCCTCCCAAGTGCTGGGATAAAAAGTGTGTCCCACCACTGCCTGGCTGCAGCCAGTACTCTTAACTGCTGAGCCATCTCTCCAGCCTGTCACTGTTTTCAACGTGTCTATTCATTTCTACTCTCTGTTCTTAACCCCTTTGTGTTCCACACAGATGCTCCATAGTGTTATAGTATTAAGCACTTACAGCCCAGCCCCAGGCCCTGGTTCCCTCCAGTCTACTCTGGCTCTAGGAATCTGATGACTTAAGTAGGATCAGAAGTAAGTGTGCTGGAGACTGAACCCAGGCTCTCCTGTGGCTCGCCAAACACTCCATCTGCTGAGCTGTATCCTCAGCCCCCACATCCTCTGTTAATGGCTGATCTCTGGTTCAGTTTCCAGGCTGAGAGGCCCGCCTTGAACGTCGTCATCTTCCCCCTGCTCCACGAGGGCCTGACAGATGTCATCCGAGATGTCCCCATGGTGCACCTGGACGAGATCACCTTATTTAAAAGCAGAGTGGCTGAGGAGCCACCGAACCTGTGGTGGTGAGAGGGCAGCCTGGCTCCCCACCCCGCCACTCCTGCCAGCAGAGCCTCTTTTTGTCCAAGTTTCCACAAGGGTCCAAGAAGCCAGCGGACAGTGGGTCCTTGTTTTGTGACAGGAAGAAAGTTTCCAGTTGTTCTGAGACATTCACCCCAGTCTCCCTGGGTTTCCTCTCACTAACTCTTAGGAGTACTTGGGCTCAGTGACGAGTGACGAGGTGGGCCATGGATGTGGAGCAGTGGTCGAGCCATACTGGCCTTCAGGGCCTGGTCACACTCCCGGGGGCTTTGTGGGCTTCAGGCCTGGGGACTGTCCATGTCATCTATAGTTGAGCTGTATCCACATGGGGTCAGGGTGGGCCGGGCTCTCACTGTGAAATACCCACAATGACATCTGCGAGCCCGCGGCTCTTTTTCCTACTGAGACAGATTTAGGACGTGGTCCACTGGTACAGCATTCGCTTAGTGTGTTTGAGGTCCTGGGTTCCATCCTACCACAAAGAAAAAGAAAATGGTTTTTTTTTGTTTGTTTGTTTTTTGTTTTTGAGACAGGGTTTTCCTCTGGCTTTGGAGGCTGCTCTTGTAGACCAGGCTGGCCTCAAACTCAGAGAGATCTACCTGCCTCTGCCTCCCAAGTGCTGGGACTAAAGGTGTGTGCCACCAACACCTGGCTGAAAAAAAAAAAATGTTTCAACCCAATGATGTCTCTGGGATGTTTCCAGCCCAATGATACCAGGGCCAGAGGGTTCCCTGGGGCAGCAACTGTAGGATGGCACCATCCCCAAGCAGAGCCTGAGGACTCGGTCCTGTATCTCACAACCCCATGGGATTCTGCTTAAAAACTTTAGGTGCTGTGGAGGTCTGAATGCTTCCTGAGGAGTCTACAACCACTAGCCTTGTTAGGATAGCTAAAAACAGTAAAAGCCAGAATGGGCACAGGATGCTGGAGCAGGGAGCACAAACCTGTTTAGTCTTTACAAAGATTCACTGAGAGCTGTGGGTATGGCTTTAGTTTTTATGCAGGGGCCCTGGTTTCCATTCCCAATGGCATACTTCTACCTGGTGGCTGAAACCTGTAATCATAGCATTCAGGAGGTCAAGTCAGGAGCTTACGGCATCCTCAGCCACATAGTTGAGGTAGAGGCTGGCCTGGGCTACATAAGACCCTGTTTTAATCTCAACAATAAACAAACAAACAAAACAAAACAAAAACAAAAACAAAAAAAAAAAAAAGGAAAGTTGAGGGAGGACCCAGTGTCTGTGGCCTCACCTTGTCCCTCACACTAGTTAGACTGAGTTAGTACCCCCTAGAGGGGACTTGTGAGAGCCTGTGTGGTTGGACTCCTGCCTGGGCCTTTCATTGGTGGGGCCCCAATACACTGTGATCATTGGTCCAGGTAGCTTCCAGTATGGACATCTCAGTCCATGCAGGCCTGCCAGGCTTCACCCACTGCTAGTGACCTTCAGAGACCCAGCCTGCTTTCATTCTCTGTCTCCTTGGCAACAGGTCCTCCTAAGCTGTGGTTTCTTCAGCTTCCCTTCTTCATAAGGAGCAGAGTGAGCTGGCTTCTGGGTGTGTGCCCTGTTGTCTCTGGCAGGTTATGCCTGGCACTTGGAGCCTGGGGGCCTGGGAGCTTCTGAACTGGCTCTGGGGACAGTGTTAGGGAAACAGCCTTCAGTCCCAGGCCCCAGATGTACCTCTGCCTGGCCCCCTGCTGTACCAATCTCAGTGTTTACATACGAGTGGTCTGCAGTGCCAAGCCCTTCCTTCTCATCCAGTCTCTTGCCTGAGGGAGTCATCCATTCTATACAGAGCCCAAGGTGCTCCCTCCCAGAGGGATCCTTCTATCTGTAGGCTGATCCCAGGAGATACCTACCCACCCCACACTCGGAGCCCTCACCTTCACAGACCTAATGCAGTTTGAGAGAGTTATGAACCTGTCCTAAGTTTTCTGGGCATTGCAGGCCATGGGACTGGCTGCCAAGGTTCCAGGGGGCACACTGAGGCCCCACAGCAGTAGACAGGGGTCCCAAAGGTGGTGGAACTCCATGTCTTTAGAGCATTAAACTGACACCTGAAAGCCACCATGTAAGCTCTCCAGGACCAACTGCTGCTTGTCCTTCAAATGAGAATGTAGCTGTCACAGCCTATGAGGGAGGCAGGCTGCTTGGAGGTAGCAGGTCCCAAGAGTCTTTGTGACTTCTTCATTTAAAGGAAGCTCCACTTAGCTGGGTATGGTGGCGCAGGGTTTAATCTCAGCACCTGGGAGGCAGAGGCAGGTGACTCTATGTGAGTTCGAGGCCAGCCTGGTCTACATAGAAGCTCTGTCTCAAAAAACAACAAAAGAACACGAATGTCAGCTCCGTTCAGACGGAGGAAATCACCTTTCTGCTGGGATTTTATTCCAGAGGCCAGAGCTGTCCCTGTGAGTCCTGTGAATAGACTTGGAGCCAGCAGTTTTAGCCAGTGGCATCATTTATGCCCAGAGACTGGGCGGACAAGGAGAGACCTGGTCAGAGGAGCCTGGGGTACAGACTGCCTGAGGAAGCACCCTCAAGTGGTAGGCCTTGTATTCTTAGCGTCTCCTGCAACATTTCTTTGACTTCAAGTGAGAATTTTCTCTCCTTCGCCACTGGGGACAGGATCCACCAGATGTCAATAGCGTGCTTATTTTTGCTAAGTGCTATTTTGGCACTGGTGTTAATCGCAATTTATAGCCTGCAGCATTTGACGCTGGGAAAAGAACCCACCCTAATGGTCCCCGATTGGCAGGACTCGGCTGTTAAGTGGTAGACCATATGCTGCCTGCCGAGAAGACGGTGAGTGCTTGGGCCTGCGAGTGTGTGTGCCTGGTGTGTGTGTGTGTGTGTGTATATTTTTGCACCTGCATGTGTGTGCAAGTATACCTACGTATGCCTGTGTGTATGCACATGAGCTTGCGTCTTCTGGTGTGTGTTCTCTGTGTTAGAGACAGTAGAAAGGAAGGAGATGGGTGAATGTATCTTTGTAAACACAATCCCTGACCTCCTCTGGCTGCCTGTGTCCCCGCCTCAGCCCAGCTGTGGCTGCTCTTGCCTCTACCTCCTGCTCCAGACCTTGTGTTGTTTGTCTTGTTTGTTTTGGTTTTTCAAGACAGGGTTTGTCTGTGCAGCCTTGGCTGTCCTGGAACTTACTCTGTAGACCAGGCTGCCCTCAAACACATGGAGATCCTCCTGCCTCTGCCTCCCAATTGCTAAGATTAAAGGCGTGCACCACCACTACCCAAGCAGCCCTTGTGTTTTATGTCCTATCTTTGATGCCTGTCTCCTAACCCTGTGGCTTGACACATACCAGCAAGCCATTCTGGGCTCACCAAGTGGCTTTCCTCTTTTTCTCTCTTATTAAAATTCTACATGCATTGTATGTGTGTGTGCAGGTCTGTGTGTGCCAGGGCCCATGTGGAGAGGGCAGAGGACAATCGTGGCTGTCTTTTCACCTTCCTTTTTTGTTTGAGGCAGGGTCTCTTGTTCGCTGTTGTATACACTAGGCTAGCTGGCCCATGAACTTCCAGGGATTTCTGTGTTGACAGATGTGTGCTACCATGTCTATCTTTGTGTGGGTTCTGGGGACTTGAACTCAGGTCCTCACGCAACAAGTACTCTACCCACTGAGCCATCTCCTTAATGTGCTTTCCTGACCTTCATAGGGAGGAATTTTATTAGTCACAGTGAGGAGTGCTTTGCTCTTATATGACAGGGACAGGCTCTGTCCTGCCACTGACCCTTGGAGGCTGTGAGGTCTAGACTTGGTCTGGACACAGCCTGTGGCCAGTGGAGGGCTTGGCGCAGATACTGAGTCCAGTGGATGCCTCTCACATTTGGGCATTTAGAGCAGATTCAGTGTCCATCAACCATATCAGACCCAGAGTTAAAGCCTGTACTTTGCAAGATGATGGGGCTTGGGCTGAGGTAGGTCCAGAGGGGCCTGTGGGAAAGATGAGCCCAAGTAGTGAGGCTGTGGGTACCAAGGGCCTGGCCTCCCAGCAAAGACAGGGTCTCAAGGAGGATAGACAGCCACTCTAACACCCCTTCTAAGAGGTGCCAGCATGCCACCTCTTCCTCCAGCCTTTGCTGTGACCTGCCCCTGTGAAAATCTGGAAATTGCTGAACGCTTACAAAGAAAAAAGCCAAGTGTGATGGAGCGTACCTGTCATCTCAGCCTGCAGGAGGTGGAAGCAGGAAGATCAGGAGTTCAAGGTCAGCTTCAGCTATACAATGACTTTGAAGCCAGCCCTGGCTACACGAGACTATGCCAGTAGAGATGAGAGAGACAGAGAGAGAGAATGAGATGAAATTCTGAATGGGGTATGAAGTATGACACAGTGGGTCCTATATGCTGACCTCTTTTTGTGGGTGTGACCAGTTCATTGGTACTTGCAATTATTAGTGGCATCCACTGCATTGTTGTAGGGGTTTTGTGACTGGTCTCATCTACATTTGGGGCTGCAGGGTACAATAGAAGTTACTAGGTTCTATGTTAATACTGCATGGGAGTCTGGACCAGCCGTGGGTCCTATGTTAGCTGCTCAGTGGTTGCACCTTCATCTCTTTGGAGGACCATCAGTGGGTGGGCTTTTCTTTGAATCATTGGACTAGGAGCTTGGCTACACCTGCCCCACCCCAGCCAGACCTGGCAGGCTGCCATAGGGCTGCCAGCAGCAGTGCTATTCAGGGAGGCCAGGGTCCCTGAAACTGCTGCTGCTAATGCTGGCCTGGGATCTGCCTCAGAACCTGGGGGGGGGGACAGATGGGGCAGACTCAAGTTCAGCCAAAACCCTGACCTCTGTGCTGATGAGGTGAGGTGTTCACTGGTCCCTGTGCAAGGAATGTGTGTACGAACAAGGGTTTCCATAGCAGGAGTGTGCAAGCATCTGTATGTGTGTCTTGTGTGTGTGTGTGCACAAAAGCTTGTGTCTAGGTAATGGCATGAAGCCTCTCCTATGCCACTTCTGACCATGACACATTGTGCATGACTTTACCTGGCACCGTATGAGTTGAGTGTTTTGGGGCATGGGGTGTGGTGTGGCCTTGTGACCAGGTGCTAAGTGACCCCCCCCACTTTGATGACTGACCGCCCTGACTCCTGTCTGTCTGGGAGAACTGCCTGTAGTTAGTATCTGGTAGTGACACCCACTGCGATGTCACTGTGGTGCTGACAAACTACATTCTGAATGGGCATTTTTATGTAAATCTGTGGCATGTGGAAAATCAAATAAAATGAACTTATTTGGAAAACCAGGCAGCTATGTGGTCCTTCCAGTAGGGACCCTTAACTGTTCAAGTGTGGTCTGCTTCATAGGCTCAAGTGGGGAGGCTTCTCCATCCTTTTCTCTTTTAATCATTTATTTATTTTTACATGCATTGGTATCTTGTTTTGCCTGTGGAAGGGTGTTGTAGCTACAGACAGCTGTGAGCCACTATGTGGGTACTGGCAATTGAACCTGGGTCCTCTGCAAGAGCAGTCAATGCTCTTAACCACTGAGCCACCTCTCCAGTCCCCCCCCCCCCTTCATTCTTTTTTTGAGACAGGATCTCAAGTGGCTTAGACTGGCTTCAAATTTTATATGTAGACAAGGCTAGCTTTGAACTCCTAATCCTGCTTCTGCCTCCCAAATGCTGGATTACAAGAGCATACCACCATTCCTTTCTGGTTGTGGATTTCAGTGTTGACTTGACCTCACCAGAGCCTGTAGCAAAAACACCGAAATGTGGCCCCTTCTGGGCTAGTCGGGCTTCTTTACAACATGGCTACCAAATTTAAGCACAACTCATGGCAAGAAAAGCAGCAAGATGTGTTCAGCTTTGGTTCTCACTATTCTTGTCACCTCCACCTTGACAGGCAGTTCACAGAAGTCCACTACATTCCTCAGAAATGGACACAGACCCCCCCACAAGTACCCAGGAGGTGTGGGGGTCTCAGTTCAGAAGGCCTGATGGGGTGGGAGGCAGTACTGTGCCCATATTAGGAGGGCATCCGTTTGCACCCTGAGGTTTCCAGCCTAAGCAAGGCAGAGGCTATAGCCTGGCTGTGAGATGTGTATTGGGGGGACCGATGCCTCATGTTGGGAAGGCCTTACATTACATGCCTCCCTAGCCAGTGTCTATTTGTGGCAGCCCTGGGTCCATGGACTGTTTGCAACACTCCAAGAGGCCAGCTACCCTTAGGGTTGGCTGGGAGGGTGAAGCTACTTGACCTTTGTCAAAAAGGAAGAAGAAGAAAAAAAAAAAAAAAAAAAAAGCTGGGCAATGGTGTTGGATGCCTTTAATCCCAGCACTTGGGAGGCAGAGGCAGGCGGATCTCTGTGAGTTCGAGGCCAGCCTGGTCTACAAAGGAAGTTCCAGGACAGCTTGGGCTGTTACACAGAGAAAACCTGTTTCAAGAAAAGTAATAATAATTGAGCTGGAGAGATGGCCCAGTGGTTAAGAGCACTGACTGCTCTTCCAAAGGTCCTGAGTTTAAGTACCAGCACCCACATGGTGGCTTAATGTCATCTGTAGCTTCAATCCTAGAGTATTCCATTCCCTCTTCTGGCCTCCTTGGACAATGCACACACACACTCACAGACAGCACACATAAATAAGGGACTGGAAAGATGGGTCCATAGTGAAATGCACTTATTGCTCCTACAGAGGACCTAGGTTTGGTTCCCAGCACCCACATGATGGCTCACCATGTATACGTCAAATTCCAGTTTCTTTGATGCCCTTTTCTGACTTCTGTGAGTAGTAAGCACACATGTGATACACATGCATGCAGGCAAAACACTCATACACATAAAATAAAACCAATAAAAAACAGTAAATCTTAGAGGGGGAGCTGAGTAGTGTGTCGTGATAACAAGAACTCCTAGAGATCTGCCAGAACCATGGCCTTCATAATGAAGTTTCTCAGAGTTCAAGGATATCCATCTAATGTCTGTGTTTAGCTTTGGACTGGTATAACCCCTGTGGTTAGGGATAACTTTTAAAATAACTTGGGTGGCCTCATTTTATCTTTAAAAGTCTCCCTTTAATGCTGGGCATTATTAATCCACTCAGCCCACTATGGGTGGCATCATTCTCTAAGCAGGGGACCCTCCTGAACTGAATGTATAAGAATGTATAATCCCAGCACTCAGGAAGGTGAGGCAGGCAGATCTCTGTGAGTTCGAGGCCAGCTTGATCTACAGAGTGAGTTCCAGTATAGCCAGGAATACACAGAGAAATCCTGTGTCTAAAAACAAAAAACAACAAATACTAGTTCTTGGGCTGGAAAGATGGCTCAGCAGTTAAGAGCACTGGCAGCTCTTCAAGAGGGCCCAGGTTTAATTCCCAGCACCTACGTGGCAGCTCATAATTGTAACTCCAGATCCAGGGCATTCAATGTTCTTACACAGACATGCATGCAGGCAAAATACCAATGCACATAATAAATAAATCCTTTAAAAAGTGGCAGACAGTGGTGGCACACATCTTTAATCCTAGCACTTGGGAGTCAAGGCAGGCAGATCTCTGGGTTCCAGAGCCTGGTCTACAGGGTGTGTTCCAGGACAACCAGAAATACACAGAGAAATTCCATCTTAGAAAAAAAGAATTAAGCCAGGCGGTGGTGGTGCACACCTTTAGTCCCAGTGCTTGGGAGGCAGAGGCAGGCGGATCTCTGTGAGTTCGAGGCAAGCCTGGCCTACAGAGCAAGTTCCAGGACAGGCTTCAAAGCTACACAGAGAAACCCTCTCTGGATTGTGGCTGTGGTGTAGTTAGTGCTTGAGTTTTGCCTTGAATCCCAACAATGATACTAGTCTGGATTTGTAAGCCACATCAGCCCTTTCCTCTGCTTTCTGTTTGGAGTTTTTAATCACAACAGAGATGAAACTGTAACAGTGGTGCGAACTGTCTGTCATCCCAGCACTTGGGAAGTGGACGCAAGGGGATGAGGAGTTCAGGGAAGGTCAATTGGAGGCCAGCCTGTGCCATACAAAACTCCAAATAACAAAGCAAGAAAAATGTTTCCATTTACTCTCTCCCTTGAATATACTCATAGTTTCTATGACAAACAATCTTTCCTGCTTGACTCCCAGGTAAATATATAACTTTGTTTCTGAGTGTTGTATGTGATTCTGGGGGTGAAACCAGGCCCCTGCACATGCTATGCAATTGTGCTAGTGCCTAGCTCTGCCCTCAGCCCCTCACTGGGGGAGTCTAGGTGCTCTACTTCTGAGTCACACCCCAGCCTTGAGCTAAGAGGCAGGCAGATCTCTGTGAGTTTGAGGCCAGCCTGGTCTACATAGTGAGTTCCAGGACAGCCAGGGAAGGAACAGAGAAACCCTATCTTGGAAAAAAATCAGGTGTAATGAGACATGACTGTCCACACCTTCAGTCCCATACTCAGAAGGCAGAGATTGATGGATCTTTGTGAATTCGAGGCCAGCCTTACCAACATAGTAAGTTCCAGCCTAGCCAAAGCTATATCATTATACTATGCCACAAACAAAGGAAAAAGGTGCTAAAAAGCTGGCTCAGTGGTTAAGCGCACTGGCTGCTCTTAAGACCAGGTTTGATTGCCAGCATGTAGGGAATCTATAACTTCAGTCCATCTATAACTTCAGTCCCAGGGCATCTGATGCCCTCTTCTGACATCAGGGGCACAGGCATGCACATGTCCACTCACATACATGCAGGCAGGAAAGATGAAGAGCAACTGAGGAAGATGTCCAATGTCAACTTCTGACCTCTAATTCACATACATGTACGTGAACACACATGCACACCTCCAGGCACACAAAAAAGAGAAGACCTTTTACTGGCAGGACTACGTGGGCGACAGGAGCTCTTGTGTCCTGGGGGTGGGAATGTCAGTGGGCTCTGCTAAGTCATGCGGAGGACACTGAGCTGCAGTGGCTGTGATTATGAAGTCATGTCTACTTGACACAGCAATTCCACCTGGGGGATTATTTCACAGCTCACTGAAGAGACACAAAGTGACAGATATATGATGTTCATTATCAACTTCACATGTAATTGCCAAAGTCTGAAGGTATTTTAAGTGTCCAACCACAGGGGATGAGTTAAATAAACTATCACACGTCCATCCATCCAGATAAAATGTATGACGGAGGAGAGAATGAATGCAAAGAAATAAAATGGTGGACAGAGAGAGAGAGGAGACATTTGAGGGCTGGACTGGGCTCTGTGGGAGACCACAGGCCCTGGGTTTTATCTCCAGCACTATCAAAAAAGAAAAATAAATTTAAACATTTCCCTCAGGGCAGTTGAGATGAATCTGAGGGTAAAGACACCTGCCGCCAATCCTGACAATCTGAGTTCAGTCCCTGGAACCCGCATGGAATCAGTTATGAAAAGTCCTTGAAACTCACCCACGTGCCTTGGTATAAGTTCAAAGCCAGCTTGGGATACAGAAACTAAGCCTAATGCCTTGCAGTGGTGGCGCACTCGGGAGGCAGAAGCAGATGGATCTCTGTGAGTTTGAGGCCAGTCTGCTCTACAAAGTGAGTTCCAGGACAGCCAAGACCACACCTGTCTCAGAAACTTCATTTCTCAATAAAAATACAGAAAAACTTCCATAATTTCCTAAAAGCCACTTTTTTTTTCCTCCAGATTTCTGGCTACAAACCAGAGACTAGCTGTACACTGAATATGTATGGGGGGGGGGGGAAAACACAGCGGAATCTTTGCTATCCCATCAAGCTTTGTGGCATTTTTTTCCTTTGTCTTTTTCTGTCCCTTTTACTCCAACTCAACATGAAAGCCACATCCCTAGCGTAAGGAAGTGATGGCTCTGGAGCCCTGACACCCCATTCCCCAAACCAGACACATTTAGTGGGTTCCAGAAAGACACTTTTCCATGAACAACTCAAGATCTCTCCCAGCACTGCAGACCTCTCCCAGACCCATTTGTCAAAACTATTTACAACCAGGTGTTTTCTGTTGCAGCTGCTGGATGCAATCAATAGTAGTTAACCGACTGACTAACAAAGCCCCAGATAGACTCAAATCAGAGAGAAATAATAAAGAATCCAGACATGGCTGTGCATAGCCATGTGCACTCAGGAGGCTGATATGGTGGCACCCGGGTGCTGGCTCCTGGGTAAAAACTGCTTCAGGTGCAAACCTGACGACGACCTGACTTCCGTCCTGCAGTGCCAGGTAAAAAACTAGATTTGGAGACTGTAATCGCAGCACTCCTACAGCTGCTTGAGAAGCAGAGCCAGACAGGAGAACCAACAGAGAGAGAGGTT